GCTTTGACATTGGTCTTTTCTGTTCCCCAGACTCATGCTGAAACAGGAGCTCTTCTTGGGTCTCAGGTCTGCCAGCCTTCTGACAGGAGCTTCACCATCAGCTCTTAGGCCTTGGGATTTGGACTGGAAATAAGCATAAGCTTTCCTGAGTCTCTAGCTTTCCAACTGCAGACCTTGGGACTTCTCAGACTTGGGCCAGTTCCTCCTGATAACATACACACATGTTGTTATGAACTGAGAGGAGAGTATATATACTACATATATTGCATAGGCCTATATATTATAGATAAATAACATATAATATTATAATATATAATATCTCTGTATAGAATCTCCTGTTGGCTCTGTTTCTCTGGAGAACCCTAATACAGTGTACCAGTTACAGAAACATTTGAAAGTATCATGTTCTGTTTCTCCTCTACTTCTCCTAGACAGATGACAAATGGAACCAAATGTGCCAGAGGTTTACTGAGGGAAGTACCTGTGAAGGATACGAGACAAAGGGGGAAGGAGCAGGAGTAGGCAGGGGCAGCTTTCAGTCTAGTACATAAACCTGAGACCTATAAAAGGGAAGAGGGAAGGAAGGGTTGAGTAGGAAGAGTTTCAGACCAGAGCACAGCTCTGAGAAAATTTTGGCCATCCTGATGGAGAGTCCCCAAACCACAGTGACCATTTTAAGAATGCCCCTTGAGACAGGAATGGCCCAGGTCTGGTCCCTGCAGTGTGCTTAGTTCTGGGCTGGAATAGCCCTGGGGAAGTGTGGACTCAGAGTGAATACTGCAGGAGACACAAAGCACAGCATCTGGAGACCCTCAATTAGCCAAGCTCTAAACCAGTTCTCTAAGCAGGGCACCTTCATGATCTGTCCTTCTGGAATGCCCATCTGCGGCTAGGGGTGGGCTTTCCCAAGTTCTGATAATCATAGAGTCTATGTGGGAAGGACAATATGATTTTAAAGGGGAGATCCTAGGGACTTATCTTAGAGCACACGGTCTTACTTAGATTGTCTATTTACCAAAGCCAATCTTGGAGCTGCCTCTGTCCAAGAGCAGGAATGGGATGGACTGAAGAAGGATGGCGATGGGAGTCCAGGGAAAGAGGGCACAGAAGCTGGACTGTCTGTCAACTCTGCCAAAGCCAGCAGCATGAGAACAGTAGGCACCTGCCATCTCGAGTGACAGGAGGGGTCCTGGTTTTTTAACCCAGTAATACATCAGTCCATGGACCAGCTTTGGTAGCCACACTTTAGTTGACAGACCTTGGCTGAGATTTTGAGGATCTGGATACATTTCAGTAGAGCTGGGAGGAATATGGCAGAGATGAGCTTTCCTTAGTTGGAGCAGAAAATCTCCTGCAACTGGGCAGAAAAAGATAGTAGGCCACCTGTTCGTCTGGCAAACCAAATAGTGCTTGTTTCATTAAATGATTATAAATCAAGTTCTTCTATTTCTCCTTTAGGATAAAAATGTATTAGCAATCTAGAAGATTTATGTGGGCTGGGCTTCCCCTGTAAACATTTCACTTCTTTGGTGTATTTCCCCATCTCAGCAAATTAAGAGAATTGCCACTTACACCTCATAAAAACAACAACCACCTTGTCAGTTAATTTGGATGGAATCATAGTGATAAAACATCAGTGCTAGGCAGGAACTGGAGATCCTTTATTGTTACATATAGGGAAATTGAAACCCAGAGAGATGAGTGATCGCCCAAGGTCACCTGGCTGACTGTGGGCAGGTGTAGGCTGGAACCCACAGCTTTGGTTTTTAGGCCATAGCTCTGCCCACCATGGCAGCCTAGCTTTCTTTCCTCATCATACCCTTCATTCTTCTTTAAGTCCTTCAAGTTAAGCAAATACTTGGTTAGCCAAACATTTTCTTGTTAATCCTCATCCAAAGATATTTTTTTCCCATTGATTTTTAGAGGGAGTGGAAGGGAGGGAAAGAGAGAGAGAGAGAGAGAGGGAGAGAGAGAGAGGAACATCAAGAGGAGAGAGACACATAGATTGGTTGCCTCCTGCATATGCCCAGACTGAGCTAGAGATCAAACATGCAACCCAGGTATGTGCCTCTGACTGGGAATCCAACCCACAACCTTTCAGTGCATAGGCTCACGCTCTAACCATCGAGCAACACTGTCCAGGGCCAAAGCCTTTTTTTAAATAACCCTTTTTCTAGGAAATCCCTTTTTTCTCTAAGAGTTTTGTGACCTAACTTAATTTTAGAGAACAAGACAAAGAACAAAAAGCAGCGGTGTACTTCAGGAGCCTGCACAAATGTATTGCTTTGAAAACATTGGCAAAAGCTTAACATAAAACCTGAAAAGAAAAGGAGGCCCCCAAATCACCCAGCTTTGTGACTGGAAGAGCCAACACTTGTTTACTCATATGCAAGGTTCTGGCAGCTGTTTGCCTGTGGACTCTGAAAGGTCTTTGAGCTGGAGGGAACCTTGATGGTTATCTACGCAGAAACAGAGCTCCAGCAAAAGCAAGTTAGGACTGGAACCCACACCTCCCAACTCCTATCCAGATAATTGTCTACAACAAAATATTTTGACGAGTGCAAAATATTGTCTTAACGTTTGAGTTGAGACAAGCAAGGGCTCGTGTCCAGAGCCGGGCACTGGCAGTGATGGTCACTGCTGCTGCCCGCTCCGTTCCAGGCACGGTTCTCTGTGCTGTACGTGGATGGAGTCCTTCTTTCTCTGGACTGAGTCAGCTTCAACAGGTTATGTCCCAGCAACAACCCCAAAGTCTCAGTGGCTTACAGCAGAAGGTTATTCCTCATGTGTTATATGTCGTTGGTTGTGGTGGCTGAGGCTCTGTTCCCTGTGGCTTCTTCATCGCAGGATCTGGCGTGAGTGGGGAGACCCTGTTTGAGACATGGCAACCTTGAGGCAGAAGGAAAATGGTAGATGACCCTGAAAGCTTCTGCTCACTTCCATTCAAATCCCACAGGACAAAGCAAGTCATGTGACCAGGCCTGATGCCATGAGGGGAGCACCGGGAGCCATGCGACAGTGGGAATGTGTATATTAAATACGAGGGCAACCAGATATTTGAAACAGTATTGCAATCTACCGCACTGGGAATCACCACTGTACATTAGCTTTTTCCATCTGTATAAAAAAAAAAACTTATGAGCCCAGCTGGTGTGGCTCAGTGGTTGAGTGTTGACCCATGCACCAAGAGGTCGCCAGTTTGATTCCCGGTCAGGGCACATGCCCAGGTTGTGGGCCCAATCCCCAGTGGGGCACATGCAGGAGGCGGCCAATTGGTGTTCTCTCTCATCAATGTTTCTGTCTCTCTCTTCCTCTCTTTTCCTCTCTCTCTAAAATCAATTAAAAAAAACAAACCCTATGACGTAGGTAGAAATATTATTTAATGTCCAAAGTTATACAGTTAAGAGCCCAAGCTGGTATTTGAACCCAAGCAGTATGGCTCAAGAGCCTATACTTAATCAATAGGCTATAATCAATAAGTTGCTTTTCATAATATGCTGCGTTTATTCTGATAACCCCTTGGCACAGTTCGCCGCTGCCCCGCCCTCTATCAACTAGTGAAGTCTGCCTAATGCCCAACACCGAGGCTTCGGCCATCTGCTCTTTTTACCTGTATCGCCACATTCACCTATTTATTTAAAAATACATAGTCTAACTACTGTGCTGTACATCTGAAACTAATACAAAATGATATCAAATGTAAACTGCGACTGAAAAAATTTTTAAATGTTTAAAAAAGATTACATTTAAAAAATTAAAATAATAAATGTTTATTATGTTTGAGAAAAACCAACTATATATATGTATATATATGTATATATAGAGAGAGAGAGAGAGAGAGACAGAAACAGAAAGAGAGAGAGAAAGACAGAGACTGACAGAGACAGAGAGAGAGACAGAGAAAGACAGAGAGAGCTCACCTGTGAGCAGTGGGCACAGAGTGGTTAAACCAGAAACAGATGATGGGCCCTGCTCTCAGAAACCTGGTCAGAATATGTATCACTGACATGCATGGAATCAATTGATGAATCCTAAACACATGTGAACCTACCATTAGAGTGCTGTGGGGAAGTAAGTGATTTCCTCCGGAGAGGGAAGTCTAGAACAGGATGGGAGGCGTTGGAAGGAGATCTGCAGTTGGGGGAGGAGCGGACTGCATGAAGACCGGAGGGATGAGGTGGAGCAGCAGAGCCTCAGTTCAAGGTGCACACAGCAGGGGCCTCGGACGACCCTGTCTCAGCAGCACGCGACTGGCGACAGTAGGGAGGGCTGCATCACTCTAGTTTAAGCAGGTGTTCCAGTACTGGTCATACTGTCTATAGTGACTGGACATTAATATTTTATAACTCCTGTAATTATATTTGAATAGCACAATTATATTAAATTGTGTTTAATAAACATAAAAAGCATTGAGGTTATAAACATTATCTTTTAAAATATATCAAATATTTTAAAATCCTGTTTTGACCTTTCTTCACTTTTAAAAACCACACCAGCACCTTCAAAACAATGAAAGCAGATTTCATTACAGGCCCTGCAGTAAAACACAGTAGAAAGAAAGTACACTAGTTTGGGCTGGGAAGATTGTTTTTTCATTCATTTATTCATTCAACCAACAAACACTTAATGAGCACTTACTACAAACAAGACATTATTCTAGGTCTTGGGGATGCAGGAGTGAACAAGAAGCACACGTTCTGCCCACATGGATTGGACATTCTGCTGAGTGTGCAAAGAGAAGTAGTGAGAACCAAAGAGCTAACTTGCACATTTATAGAGGAAGTGAACCTTTATCGTCGGGCTGACTAGTATAATTTTTATTTTTATTTTTTTATTTACTGATTTTAGAGAGAAAGGAAGTGAAAGGGAGAGAGAGATGGAAACATCGATTGGCTGCCTCCTGCATGCCCCCCACTAGGGATTGGGCCCACAACCTGGGCATGGGTCCTGACCAGGAATCGAACCGGCAACCTCTCGGTGCATGGGTCGACGCTCAACTGCTGAACCACACCGGCTGGACTAATTTTTCTTCTGCAGAATGGGGGGAGTCACTGAAGGACTTCTGCAGGGAAGACTTAATGAGACTAGGCTTTGGGTAGTCAATCGGGCAGTATTGAGTGTGTGTGTGGTGGGAGTGAACTAAAACGGGACCTGAGTGGAAGAAGGGACATCCAGACAGCATCTGATGTCCAGCAGACGAAAAAGCAGTTCTGAACCCAGCAGTCGGAGCAAATGCAAAGCGTGGACAACATGTGAAAGATCCCCACCAGGTGGGACAGCAGGAGAGGAGCTCCTGATGGTGTGGGTGGGGGACCATGACAGAGGAATCGAAGTTCCTGCAGTTTGCAGCCTGCTCTCTGGCAGAGACAAGTTGGTTTGGCCCAGAAGTACGCTGAGGGGACTTTAGATCAAATGACTCTAGCTTCGAAGTCTGGTCTGAAACTTACCAGCTGTGAACCTTTCAGTAGGTTGCTTAACCTTTCTGAGCTTTGATTGCCCTGTCTGTAAAAGTGAAATATAACCCCTAATTTGTGGGATAATTAAGAAAAATATAGTGCACAGGACACAGGCGAAGCTTTCAGTAGCTTTGGTTATGATTATTGTGGGTACGTGGAGGATGAACTGGCTTGAGGCATGCATTAGGAGTCAGTGCAGGACATCCAAGACGAGGTGCTGAGTGGACAGTTGCAAAGATGGCAGCCTTAGATGAGCTTCTGCATCAAGTACCAATGGATTAACATTTATTTTTGAGCATTGATTGTGTTAAGCACTTGACGAGCTTTAGTTCAGTTAGTCCTCACAGCAAGCCTGTAAAGAAGATATGGTTGTCATCATGATTTTATAAATGAAGAAACAGCTTTAGTTAACTGAACTCAGGCCAGCCCACACAGCTAATGAGAGGCATAATTTGAACTCAGCCCCCCTTGACTCCAAAGCCGAACACTCTTTTTTTCTTCAATTACAGTTTACTTCCAATATTATTTTGCATTGGTGTCAGGTGTGATGCATATTGGGTAGACAATCACATACTTTACAAAGTGTTCCCCCTGATATTTCCAGTACCCACCTGGTTCCATCCATAGTTATTAGAATATTACTGACTCTATTCTCTATGCTATACTTTACAGCATCAGGACTATTTTGTAACTACCGATTTGTACTTCTTAATCCCTTCTCACCTCTTTCACCCAGCCCCCAACCCTACTCCCTTCTGGCAACCACCAGCCCACTCTCTGTGTCTATGAGTCTGTTTCAATTTTGTTAGTTTGTGTATTTTGTTCTTTAGATTCCACATATAAGTGAAATCATATGGTATTTGTCTTTCTCTGGCTGGCTTATTTCATTGGGCATAATACCCTCTAAGTCCATCCATGCTGTCACAAATGGTAAGATTTTACTATTTTTTATGGCTGAGTAATATTCCATTGTGTATATGTACCACTACTTTTTTATCCCCTCCTCTATTGATGGGCACTTGGGTTGCTTCCATAGCTTGGCTATTGTAAATAATGCTGCAGTGAACATAGGGGCACATAGATTCTTTCGAATTCGTGTTTTGGGTTTCTTCGGATACATACCCAAAAGAGGGGAATCACTGAGTCATAAGGCAGTTTCATTTTTAATTTTTTGAGGAACCCCCATGCTGTTTTCTGTAGTCAAAGCCCAAACTCTTAAACGTTCAAAGTTTGTAGTAGCCAGTCTGGAGGTGGCATTACAGTCATGCTCTGCAACAGCATCTTGGTCAGCGAGAGACCAAATATATGATGGTGGTCCCATAACATCATAATGGACCATAATGGAAATTCCTATCACCCAGTGATGTTGTATCCATTTAACATGGCAGCCAATCACCTTACTCGCGTGTTCATGGTGATGCTGGGGCTGGTGTAAACAAACCTACTGCCATGCCAGTTGTATGCACAGTACATCATACTCAATAATAACAAATGACTATTGATTTATGTACTTACTGTACTATACTTTTCATCATTATTTTAGTGTGCTCTTTCTACTTATATTTTTAAGGTTTGCTGTAACAAATATGCTGTATTATGCCAACAGCAGCGTCATACACTTTGTGTTTACTATGTCTTTTTATTTTTTTATTTTTTGTAATTTTTCTTCTTTATTGATTTTAGAGCTAGAGGAAGGGAGAGGGAGAGAGAGATAGAAACATTGATGAGCCAGAACATGGATTGGCTGCCTCCTGCATGCCCCCCACTGGGGATTGGGCCCACAACCTGGGCATGTGCCCTGACAGGGAATCGAACCGGTGACCTCTTGGTGCATGGGTCGATGCTCAACCACTGAGCCACAGCGGCTGGGTTACCGTGTCTCTTAATAGCATCATTTTCTCTTATAATTGATTTGATCTGACATTGTTTTGTACAGTAACAGGCTGGTAGCCTAGCAACAGGCTAGACCAAATAGCCTAGGTGTGCAGTAGGCTATCCCACCTAGGTTTGTGGAAGTGCACTCGAACGACAACAAAATCTCCTAACAATGCATTTCTCAAAACACATCCCCGTCATTAAAGAGCAAATGACTGTAATTTAGTTTAAGAACTGCAACTCCCCCTGCCCATCCACACTCAGACCGCCACCCCACCCTGTGGCTGGCCCCGATTCTCCTGCGGTGCTTCGGAAGGACTGAGTTCAGTCTGAAGGGAACCACCCTGCCCATCTGAGCAGCACCTTTTTGTGGCTTGGGGCACATTTTGTGGTTCCACTGAGATACCACTCAGCCAGCGTAATTGCCATCTCCACAGCTCACCGTCCTTCCAGTTTGTTTTCCCTATCTCTGGTAATTTTGACCAAATCCCTGAGCTGGAAGCTAATGTGATGAAAATACACAACCCAAGAGTCAAGACCCTGGATCAATTTGGGCCTCCACCTGTCACTGCCTGTGTGATTTGGGGAAAGTCCCTTATCGTTTTCGAGCCTCTCTCTTTCTCATCTGCACACCAGAGATAAAGACCCCAGGCTCAGATCAAACAACAGGGACATGAAGGCATGTGCAGAAGAAATCACTATATAAATAGGGGCTGTTCTCTGTGAGGACTGGGCTCCAACCGTCGGCCAACTGGGAACTGGGAGCAATGGGGCCCCAGTCTCAGAGGATGTCCAAGTCTGCAGCCATGGAGGCTCCCGAGGGAAACATCACACCTGACCTTTCCTTCGCTGGACTACCTTGAACTGATGTGAAACCTCTTAACTCTGTTGTCTGCCAAGTGCAGCCATATTGAGTCATTTTTCACTCAAGAAAAATTGTCACATTCACAGTTCTGCCCCTTCTATTTTGACGCTAATTTCAGCATTACCTATGCAAAGTGCAGGTTTCTGATCCCAAACAAGCCCCACTTAGAACAGAATGGAGGCAGCGCTCTGACTCAGGCTTCACACCAAGCACCGTAATAGCTTTGCCATTTCTCAGGGAACAGGATCCGGCAACAAAGCCGATTGTAGTTCTTTCCTAATAATTTTCTGTATGAGGATCCGAAAATTGGCTTTCAAAAACCCGTGGTACAAAGAGAGCCTTTGCCAGCTAGGATTTGGGAAGAATGTGATATTGTCAGAAGAAAGCCCGATACAAATTGTTCCATGTGTAAGGCGGGCGCACATGACTTCGCTGCTTATTCGGAGTCAGTCCTTTTAAAATATGAACTCATCCCAGTGAGCACAGATCTGCCTTTTACGAACCTTCACTTCTCACACTGTCTCACAAGTAGGCATTTTTCCTGTTTCTCTTTTCTTTTTCTCCCATGTCCGATCTGGCCTGTCTAAGGAGACACCAACATGCCAGAGCAGTCAAGCGCATAATCGGCATTTGCTCTGGGCTCTGCCGCGTTTTCTAGCCAGAAGGACGGCCGAGTGGAGTGAGTGGTGTCTCTCTCTGCCTGCGGCTTTGTGTGGCGGTCCTGCCAAGCATTGCGATTCCAGCCCTTAAACCTGTGCCAGGCTGTTAATGTCTTAATGCTTATTCAAGTGTCAGGGAGCGCTGGCAGATGTCAGGGAGAATGGGAGGCTGTCAATAAGGAAATTACTTACATTCACAGGGTGATTGCAGGCGTCTGTCAGGTAGTGCTGCTGAGGATGTCAAGCTGAAAAAGAAGCAGAGAAAATAAAAGGTGGCGGCAAACAGCATTGGGGGAGGGTCCTTTTTTTTTTTAAATAAATTGTTTAGAGATATTTTATTTTCCTTTTATTTCTAGAGCTAGGCTCCAGATACAGCTGTCATAGGTCAAGAAATAAACAAACAGTGATTTCCTATCTCTGGAGATTTCACACGTAAGAGCTGCATGACTGGGGCCTTTTGTTTTAACACACGACAGATAATTCAAATTTTTTCCTGAGAAGACAGAAGGAGTCAGGTCCCTGGTCACCAGGAAACACATATTTTATTCAACAACTACTTACTCACTGCCTGCTCTGTGCGAGGTGTGGTCAATAACCCGACGGCTGCATGTACACAGGAAATTTTTTTTAAAGCACATTCTTTAACTTCTAGAGGCAAAGGCATCCTCTTTGCTGTGTGGTTTTAAGATTAGGGATTTGGACTGAGGAGAGTCCCGCCCTCCTAACTCTAACAGCACCTGCCTGCCTCCTTTGCCTGTGTATAGAGACCCGAGCTTCTGGGGAAAGAGGCTTGGAGGTAATCTTGCCTTGAAAGGCTTCTCTCAGTCCTGGATTTGCCAGGCGATTCTATTTATTGCCTCCTTAAGCCCGCAAAGCTCTACTCCTGTCTCATTTCTTTACTGGTCTTTATTCCCCTCCCCCTCCCTCCAGTGTGTGTATACGTGTGTGCTTGGAAGAGGAGACGGCAATCCTCTTGTCATTGGCCAGTACTTAGACACAATGGTCTAATTACAAGGGGGAAAATACACAGGTAGCTACAAAACTTACCTTTGTAATGAAAGGCTGGCCCCTCGGAATCACCCTGGAAACATGAGACACCTTCAGTGTTTATCCCTGGTGATGAGAAAAACATCATCACATTTAAAGGGAACTTGGCGATTCCATTCGTGGTTAATGGTAGCTTTTTAGGGCTGTCTACACTTAATGTCCCGTATTACCTGTTGTAACCTAGCTCCCTTATAATACCTTCGAATTTCTCCCAGAAGGAACAGAAGAGAGGAAGTTGGGCACATTCATTAGCCGTTTCAGACTAGTTAAGGAAATGCAAACCTTTTACTGATGGGAACTCTGGGGCTAAAGGTGCCCCAAAATAACAGGAATCAAGGACAGGGAACTTTTCCCCAGAGTACCTGAGTCAAACAAACTCCTGAAAGATGCTGCTGGAAGGATCAGACTCCATGGGGACAAAAGCCGCTGGGCTAAATGGGGGTGAAACCCTGAAGTCCAGACTTGGCCTGGACAAAGAGATGGGCCTGGACGATTGGGGGGAGAGGGGCTTCCCACAGCCCTTCCTGCCCGCAGATGAAGCAGGGTGGAGTCTGGACTCTGGATACGAATGTGCTGTGTCCCCGGCAGCAGGGCCCCCCAGGAGCTCCTCGCCCCCCCGCTGGTCTGGCTGTGTACGCATGGATTTCCAGGGCGCACACCTCCATTGAATGTGACATCACTCACAGTGAGGCTGCCCCCCAGGAGCGCCTCGCCCCCCCGCTGGTTCGGCTGTGTACGCATGGATTTCCAGGGCACATACCTCCATTGAATGTGACATCACTCACAGTGAGGCTCCGGCTTCTCAAGTGCCCTCTGACCCTTTGAAGTGCTGTCCCCAAGGAGGTGTAAGCAAATTTCTCTCTGAAAAATGTGGCACTACTTTACCCAGCCCCCAAGGGACTCTTCCAGGGGCACCTCACATTTCAGGAAAGAGTCAATATATTTCTATCAACTTAACGCACAGCTTTTCATCTTTTTCTTGCTCTGTGAGTCATATATTAGCTTGGAAACATCTTTCCTCATTAGCGCTACTGGTCGTCTACCCTCACGCCCACAGCCTGTACACAAGAAAGCCAATCTGACCCTTTCTTCCATATGCTGCAATAGTAAGCTCTGGGCAAAAGAGCATTTCAATTAATCAGTCAATCAATCCAGGACTAATGCTGAAAAAAATACTTAAAAACACAGAAAAATATGCTATCAGCAGACATAAGCAATATCATGACAGTATTCAAAGGGTGTCAGAAAAAAACATTAACAAAGCGTTAGGTTTCCTGTATGCATTTATTTTCCTATTTGGTTACTTAAAATACACTGTTTAATTTACTGAAGAACTCTATTTTTTAAAAAATTATAATCCAACAAAAAATTCACAGCATTTTAAAAAATATTTTTTTCTTCCCTATCCTTTCTATTTTTAGGATTGTTATTATTCTAAATCTTGGATTCTTTTATCTTGTTCTCTAACTGGATACTGGTCAAGAAGTAATGAGAAAAAAAAAAGAATGACAAGACCAATAACTATCGTTAATTAAGTACTTACTAAGTGCTGGAATAACCTCTTTGTTATCTCACTAAGACTGTAGGACAATCCACTACCCCTATTTTACAGGCCAGAACTGGGGTTTAGAAATGTTAAACAACTCAAGGTCTCTTGTTTTGTGACCCCAGCTCAAAGGTCATTTCCTCAGGAAGTGCCATCAACTAGGACAGACACCTCGTTAAATGTTCTTACAATCTTATAACATCTACCTTTTTCCTTCAGTCTTATGAAAATTTGTAATTTTGTAATTTTACATTTATTTATGAAATTAAATGATTTAGGCATTTCTCCCCACTAAACTCTGAGTTCTAGGATAGCAGAAACCATATCCATTTCTGCTGTTACTGATCCTGATATATGGTAGGATTATAATACATGTTAAATGAATGAATGTGGGAATGACTTAATGAGTAGGTGAGTCCTTATCTGTCCAACTGTACAACTGGAGAGTTTTACTTTAGACAGTAGGATTGCTTTTTATTTTTTATCCTCACCCGAGGACATTTTTGGATATTTTGTTCAGATAGAGTGGGAAGGAAGGAGAGAGAGAGAGAGAGAGAGAGAGAGAGAGAGAGAGAGAGAGAGAGAGAGAGAGAAACACCGACGTGAACCGCACAACCCAACCAGGGCTGGAGACAAACTGCAACCGAGGTACATGCCCTTAGCGGGAACCAAACCCGGGTCTCTCGGTACCGCAGGCTGACGCTCCAACCACTGAGCCAAACCGGCCAGGGTAGTTGGATTGCTTTTTAAATGAAGTCCTAGGTGACAAACTATCCTAAATGCTCTATACCATATACAGTATTGATTAGTCTGGCCGAACTACCTGCATTTGAACCCCAGCACCACCATTCTTTAACTGTGTGCCTTTAGACAAATTACTTGACCTCTCTGTGTCTGTTTCCTCATTTGCAAAATGGAGATGAGAGAACTCACTTCATATAGTTATGAAGGTTCAATGAATGCGTAACCTGTCAGAACAGTGTACTTAGAAAGTTCTGTATCTGTGTTAGAGTTCATCAAATATTCAGGAACTTACCTAGTACAGAAAAATAAAACATCCCAGACTAATTTCATTCAAAGACTACAATGTGTTAGTTTTTATTCATTGACTGAAACTCCCTGTTCTGGTCCTTTTTAGAAGGTCCTGAGGGTGTGAATCCTAAAGAAGTGGCCCCAGGTTTTCACTCTTACACAGAAAATACCCAACATGAGTCCATCTTGAGATTTTCACTAATATTTCACCTACAAGTTCAGAAAGAAAATATTTAATGAAGATAATTTTTTTAATATTTTGAACATGTACTATAAATATTTTTTAAAAATATGTAGTACCCTGCTACTGGACACATATCATCTACAATATCATCTACAATCTCTCTCTTTCTCTCTCTCTCTCCCTCTCTCTCTCTCTCTCTCCATATATATATGTTATATAGGTTTCAGTTGTAACTGTGGAATGAGGCAAGTGATTAGGGGCCAGACCCAGAGTTCCACAGTCCCAGATCGCATCGCAGCTCTGCCACCTGTTAGCTATCTGGTCTTGCATAAGACTGTTAACTGCTTCTTGTCTGTTAACGGTTTCCTCAGCTAGAAAATAGAGATGGCATTAATTAGACTGTGATGGTTAAATGAGACTAAGTTCTGAGGACCCTGGTAAATCAGAAATGCTTAGCAAAAGTTAGTTTTTCATTACCCCCCTCCCTTCTGATTTTCCTTTTTATAGCCATTTCAACCAGGGTTTGACCAACACTCTGTTTCCTTTTGTGCCTTCTCTGATCACTTCTTCAGTGTTTCTCCAGCCTTCCCAAGACCAGAGTCACCAAGTGGCATTTTTCCTTTTCCTTCTCGAAGCGCTTGCAAGACTCTAAGTGATAAAAGAAGAGTAGTGGGAAAATAAACAGCCACTCAAAATACCTAAATGGGAGTTTGTCTCCAGTTTTGCTTCTGACTTGATTTTGAGCAACTTATTTAACCTATCTAGGTTTCCTTTCGCTCATCTGTAAAAATGAGACATATTCTTCATGAAGCATATCCTGAAATATTTTTTTTCTCCCTCTGCCCTCTCTATGTTCGTGTCATAATAACAGTAACAGTTGTACTATTTTCAATTTACACTTTCCAAAGTCTTTTATATTTATTGTATTATTTAGTGACCATGTCAATTTGGAGGTATTCCAATTAGGCACTATCATTCCATTTCCAGATAAGGGAATTGAGCTGAGAGGGGATATAGGACTTGGTAAGTCACAAAAACCCTAGAACACAGATATGTTTTACTGTGGTCGTCATATTTCTATGGTACACCTGCTATATGCAATGCACTGGCAGAGTGCTGGTGATTCAGCAAGGGTCCCATATGTTTTTGCAAAGGAATCTACACTAAAGTAAGTGGTAACTGAAAGTATTGGGTGCTCAGAGCCAAATGAGTAACCCTGAATTCCTTTCCCTCTTATTGGTTTGCCTGTGAAGAAAGAATCTCTTCTTTTCTGAGATGGAATTCCCCTGTCACTGTGTCCGCCCCCCTCCTGTGGGTCCCATGGAGAGTCCACGGCAGAAAGACACTAATTTTACTCTGACAACATTAATTCAGTTTTCTGTAAGAATTAGCCTTGGAATGACTATCTTTCAACAATGGTCTCTTTGGACTTTAAATAATCATGTTTAAATGTATGCTAAAACATTGAATTTCTGTAAAACAAAACTCAAGATTGGAAATTATCTTGACAAGTTTTCTTGTGAGATTTTTCCTGAGTCCATGTTTTAGGTCTGGGTGTCTGAGAAGTATGCAGAGTTTCAGTTTCATTTTTCATGAAACTGAGAAGTAATGGAATTGGTTCTAAAATCCCACAACAAGAATACTTTCTATAAAAATATCTGGGATATTTTCTATTATAAAAAAAATACATTTTCCCAGGAGTTTTGATAGGGATTTTAAAGAATATTTAAAATTTTGACTATTTTATATATTCACAGACTTCAAACACAAAAAAGTATGAAGAGGCATCTTGGACAAGGTTTCCTTCCTCTTTCTCCCTTTCACTGTCTACCATCTGCCTAGTTCCCATCCCCTCTCCCAGTAGCTAACCCCTTATCATTCCTTGCTTATCTGCCCCCCA